TTAGAGCAGCTGGGACAAACTGCTGAGATCAAGACTATGGGGAAGTTAGGTGTGGATGGCCCAAGTCCTGTAAATATGGCCTGTAATCATATCAAAGATTTTAGTTGTGTCCCTTGAGGCCTTGCATGTTGGACATCCCTGTTGTACACACTACTATGCATGTTACTGAATGGTGCCAAACCATATACAAGTACCTTCACTTTCAGTTCTGATAAAATTTCAAAGATAACGGAAATTAAAATGTCTCCAGTGAAAGTCTACCACTTTACTTCATCGGTGATTGGGAGCCAAGTCCCAAAGAACACTGGAGCCAATCACTTTACACATGATTTCCAATTTCTTGTTCTTCAAAGGTATGGTCAATTCATTATAACACAAGTCAAAATACTTCTTTGGAATCTAATAACTTTATTCAAGTTCTAAAATGGAAGCAGGTGATTATTATGTAAAAAACACAAGTCTCAGCTGCAATCACACCAAAACATAACAGCAGAATGGTGGAATCATCTCTTGATGAGAATGGAGTTTTGTTCAAATATCTTAAAACCAAAGTCTTTGCTGGAAGCTTGGGTTATGAGTCTCACTCTGGCAGCACCTGCCAGTTTCATTCCAGGAAGGAAACAATCTACAGAGAATATTAAATATTCTATGCCAAGGCCATTTATGCTGGTGGAGAGGAAAATTCAAGCTGTAAAGCCTCAGAGGAATGAATACTAATATTTCCGTCATTACCATTAAATTTATTATAAATTTTATTGTATTATATTTAACATATTTATCAACTGACTTGTATTAAAATACCAAATGTATTATTTTAATATATTCAACAACTTGGAAAAATTTAAATTTGTATGGCATGCTTATGCTTCAGCTTATACAATTACTCTCAAAAAGGGAAATAATTTATGTATTAGTAAATAAATCAAAAGTTAAAATTACTTTACCTTTTAACTCTAACGAGATTTAATAAATCAAGGTATAATATTTTTAATACACATATATGTTTGAAAGTGAAAGGTCAGCCTAAAAACATAAAACATTTTCTGTATCTAGTAGAATAATTAATCAACAATTTGTTTCAGCTAATTTTTGCAATAGTGAAGAGATAATAACATAAATAATTACTGAAAAGAAATAAGCATGTTTATGCAAAATTGCTTATCATGATGTGGACACTTGATTTGTAGGGCATATTGTTCTGAAGACTGTACAATTCGTAAGAGGAAGAGTATTGTATAATTATGTGTATCTTACAAAGTTATGCCCTTTAAGTGATCTCATTAAATAAACTACATTAGCCTCTAATATATCTGTTGGTATTGCGTTCAATTTCAACATACATTTTAATAAATATACACCGAGAAAAACAGCTCAACATTCAGGAGAATTAATTAAGATGCATAATTATTAATATAAGTGTAAGGATGTAAATAAGATATAATAATTCAGTAAAAATATATGGTAAAAAGCATGACAGTTTTGAAACATCATAATAATGCTTATGCATATTGGTGTATATTAATATTAAGGTATCACAGGGAGGACTTAAGATATTGGTGGTGATGTTTTTTTAAATTAATTAGGTATGTCATTAAAATTATCTTTCACATGAACATTAAGTGAGGCACTTTTAAAGAAAAACTAAAGTGAAATGACTTGCAATCTCCCTATTTACTTTGAGAGTATCAATTGCAGAAATCTGATATTTCACAGCCTTGTTGATCGTTAAGTAAACAAAGATTCATAGAACAAAATGATATATTTGTCCAACTCTACTTAGAAGAAATATTATTCTTCAATAGACATTGATCTTTGGCTACACCAATTATACTCAATGTTTTCAGCAAATATTTGTTTGTGTGATGCCACTGAATTGTCTTGGATAAAAGAAATTTTGTCTTGTGCCACTATGAATAAACTGCAATATTTCAGTTTGATACGACAAAAGAAAAATATTGAATTTGCTTCTTTGTGAAGATAATATACTTGTTATTTAATAATATAACCATAAAAGCTTTGATTGAGATCTTAGAAGATAAATTTCATGAAGTTTTTTTAAACAGCATAAAAGAGTACCATTCTAAGATTTCTACACTTTTTGTCAAAAGCTTTCATTTTGTAATATAATTCAACAAAAAATCAACAGTACATTGTATACAATAACAGATATAGAGGAAATAAATAAAAAATCTTGTTTAACAAATTTGTATATGCAGTGTTCCTCAACATGTAAAGAGGTAGTATATATAGTGGTAATATAAAATGGAGCTTAGCAACTAATAGAATAACTATATAAGTATGAGAACCTAAAACTGTTCAGTCTAATGTTACTCGGTAAATGAACCACAACCCTAATCAGTAGCTTCTGTACAGCGAAAATATAAGAATAACTTCATTACGTATTGCCACACAAGTAATTGTTAATAAATAAATATGAATAATTACACTTGGTATAAACCAAAACAACTAAGAAATATAAATCACACTCTTATTTCTCTTTAAAACCATGCTTTTAACTATTTCTGGCTCTGTTGACAGTTAGAAATATGAGTAAATATAATTGAATCTTAAAACATGAATTGTGATGATGAAATTTTCATGAACAGCAGCAATAACAACAACAACAAAAATAAAAATACAATGAACAAAATCTAATCATGAGATTTTGTGAGTATATTGAGTACAAAGCACAACACTCAAGTGATGGTAATAATATATTACTGACAATTATAATTACTCTGACAGAGGAGGAATGAAATCTATTGTACTATCATTTCCATAAATGACATCACACTAAGAAAATCACTTTCAACCCCAATGACGAGAAGTTTCAATTATTTGGACCATCATCGATTCATGAAAAATATCTACTTTATGGTCTTACTTCACAGTAATGGCTTGATAAATATGAAAAATGCAATTTATTATCCAATGATCCTGGTATGACAACATACATTTTCTCTATTAAATGTCAAATCTCATCATTTGTAGATTTATTTATATACTTATTCAATCATTATGATTGATTCTATAATTCTATATTAAGTGTAGTAAATGGTATTTATGATAGAAATACGAAAACGCCAACTTACTCTGTGTAAACATTTTAAGAATTTCTCAAGAAACATAATAATTCTAAACTTTCTAAGAAAACTATAAACAGAACAGACAAATGTACACAGTTTTTTTTAGAAAAGAAAAAAAAAATAAATAAAACTAACAACAACAAACAGCAAACTAATCAAGCTATATTAAGAAGGGTAGCACTGTAGCATGTAACTTTATACATAATTTTTCTTGTTTGTGATGTCATTCAAGGCTAGAATATTATCACACGCAGTTTTTAAAAACATTGTTTAGAAATTAATTTTTGAACCCAGAAAATGAAAATATGAAAGAGAAAAATGCCATTTAACAACTTGCTAGCTGTTTTGTTTTCATCATTCAGAGCCCAAAAACTGAAACTGTATTGTATGCAAATTACGGTTTTATAATTTAGCGGTATATAGTTAACATTGTTACTAAAAAGCAACTTCATGAGCTAATATGTGAATAAAAAACAATGAGGAGTTGTAAAGTGAACTCCTCAGGAATGTAAAATTCTGGTTTACGGCTTTCATTATAATTCATCCCAATTTTCTTACACAAAACATACTAAAAATACAAATGTGACTCCTATTTATCAGAGGGTTAATTTTTAAACTATTTCGGACTCTAAGCAACAATCAGACACAGCAATGCTCCTGCATTGCAGAAGCATTTTTAGCCCGGTGAAAAATCATACCTTCCAACCAAAGCAGTCATATTTTTGGCAGTATTACATGACGCATATTCTATGAGGGAAAGTGAATTTTGTATGTTATGCTAGAAAAAATTTAGGCTTGTTTAAGTATACACGAGGTAAACGTTAAGTGTGGTAGAAGTAGCACTAAGAAAATAACTAAAATGAAACCGTAATACAAAGAGTATTCAGGGACTTTCTATCTGAACAAAGAAAGTTTTGTAACAAGCAATGTACCTGAAAATGCATACAAACTGTGGAATATGAAAAGGCATACATTACATTCATATTTTTCTTCACTATGTACATATAATCACAACAACTTGGGCATATTGCAACCCATAGATGTATCAATCACACAGAAACATGTTCTCATTAACAGGTTGTTCTCACACTAGCTTTCACCCATAAAACAAATCTTACTACCACATTCATTCAAGTATTAAATCACTCCATCTATAATCACAATTATCACACTGAATATGCACTACCAGCAAGATCATAACTGTCATTTTCATTGACAATGTGAAACACCAAAACTGACTGTAGCAATAGCACATAATGCTGCAAAAGACACTAAGTCCTTGCACAACACACTTCTTCACTTCACTATCTTGTAGTATCTGTTTTAGTGAGCAATGTGTTTAGCTACAAACACGAGTTTATTGCTGTTCACATATTCACAAACACAATGCTCTATGACCTGCAATAATACTGTTTGAAAAATTGTTGAAAATCTCAATTACAGTGCATATTTTATGATTATAAATATTCTCTACACCTAATTACACAGGTTTGTAAAGAAAATTACTTCATATCATCATGTTTTGGCAACATTTGTCTAATTGCACTTGAAATATTGTAAGTCAAACTCATGCCTTCATATGAACTATTGTCTTCAAATTTACAGATATTGATTAAATTTTGTTTACTCCTAATGTTGCATTTTGCCAACACAACTGTCAAATTTTAACAATATGGAATGACTGCATTTGTCCAAGCAGATACAATTAACAATTAAATGTATTTGAAAATACTTATACCAATAACTTATTGTATGATAATGCATTGCAAATCTTTAGAGATTAATTTGCTCTAAACACAAAAAAAATTGGATATCTGTAAGTAGTAATTATGTAAATATTTGCTTTAAAAGAGATGTAGAAGAATGTAAAGAAAACATTACTCGTGTTTAAAAATTATCAACGCTTAAAATTTGGATACAACTTTCCATATGAAGCTGGACGTACAAGCTGTTAGAACATAGTCTTTCAAAAGAAAGGTAAGTGGACATAGGAATGATCTTTTTTTGTTCTTCCTCATCAGCACAAGAACTTGGCACTAGTAATGAACACACATGTACACGTCAGAGATTTAAGTTATAAAATCTTAGTTTCAGCATTATTCCAATTAATATGCTGAAGAAATGCACTCAACTTCTATGAATTAAAAATATGAAATAATATAAAATGTGGAATCTCCTTGAAGAAAAAAGGAATTAAGGGTCCTTACCTTTCGTTTTGAGCAACTTTCATAAGTACAAAGAAATTCTGTCAATGAATAACACTTCAAATCAGCCTGAATGAAAGCACCAGATTCATAGGCCTATAATAGCACATAATAAGACATCATCCCAAAAAATTCTGAATAAATAAGACAGCCAAGAAATTAAATATAAAATGTTCCCTAATTGTCAGAATGATGGATTTTTTTTTTTCTGAAATCTTCATTGATGCACGCATTTCCTACTGAATGTCATTTGCACTGCTTCCTAAGATACACAAATTTATCATTTATCGTTGCATGAAAGTGTTTTATTTTGTGGGGTATGAAAATACACAGAAGAACAGATATTCTGTTCTTTGAAGTTCCTTTCATCTCATGACAAAAGATGAGCTGTCCTTTTATGATTGTCACTGAAAAAGAGAAGTGGAAGGTAGAATACTAGGGCAATTACAAGAAGGCACAAACCTATACAATCCTGTCCCTTCTTGGAGAGTGCAATGCAGCCTGAAGACAGGGCATCATTCTCAGTCGTGGTGCGCAAAATGTCATTATGCATAATATCCTCATCCTTTGGCAGGATTTTTTCCTTCGGTTCAACTGGTGGTAACAGGTCTTCGTTGCTTGAAGGCCCAAGGGAAGATTCCCCATCTCCCAGATCAGGGGCGGTCTCTTGTTGGAGGTTGATACCTGGGGCAGTGTCTGTACCATAGAGTACCAGTTTCCAATCATGAAGGGTACCTTTAGGGAAAATTCAAATAAGAATGAATACTAGCTTCAGTAATTATCAAACGTGTTACATAACATTACTATTCACAGGGATGCAATGCATGCACATTTTCTTAGACACTTCATCACATTACATGAAACTACACCAGAATTAATAATAATTTAGAAGAGTATGTAAAAAGAAATACACATTTTTCATAATTCTAAAAATATTTCCGGTGGCGGCTGTTGCTGAAAATCAGCTGTATGCTGTTAGCAGTGGCATACCTTACATATCTAGTTTTCTTTAGCAGTGGCGCAAAAATAGTTTCTAATTCCCTCTCACTTCTGAGCACACAGCTTTGTTATAAAAATGTTTAGATTAAATCGTTTTAGAAGTAGTTAAAAAATTATGGTCTAAACTTGTAAACAAATATGTTTAAATGATTAATCCTGACACATTCACTTCTATGCACAACACTACCACATGTTAGGAGACCAGTGTGGAGCATAGGGCTTGTCCTGTCTGGGATGGTCCCCTGCTAGGGGATATCTGGATAGAGAAAACCCTTCAAGCTAACTTAAGTGTCTACATTGAATTTCATCATAAAAACATGAACTACCCTTTCAAGACTAATGACCATAGCAGATTATGTGCCTGAAACACAAAATAATCAAATGTAAAGGAACATATTAAGAAAAATTAAAACTGATCTCTGCAATTGTTGTACACTTTACCAGGTTTTTGTAGATAATTAATCAAAAATCTGATATTCTGAAACTTTTTTTTTTAATTATTAAAGAGAATAGCTAATGTGTTGATGCACCACAGCACTAAAAGACCAGCCGCCACATTGTAGTTCCTTGGCACAGCCAAAATTAAAAATACAAAAATAATTGTTCTACTGTCATAATCTTTTCATATACAATAAGATGTAATAAATGAGTGTCTCACTTTCTGTGATAAAAGAATGTATGCAACAAAAACATGCTTTTCGTGCATATAATTCTATATACATAAACACACAGTAACGTTTAAAATTTATAATATAGGTAACAAAGAGAGTTATATTGCATTTTACATATAAATCATTCCTGAATCTACAATTAAAATTTATAATATAAATAAAAAATCATGATGCATTTCGTCAGAATGACTAAAATTTCTAATTCTAATGAATACATGCAAGTACCAACACTAGTAATATCACAACTGCTAACAATAATTTAACTGGTAACTATAAAAACTATTAAACAACAAGGAATTTAAAAAAATCAACCATTATTTCTGCCAAAGATATCAAAAAATTGTAGGAAGTGACATTTGAGGTGAAAGTGAGGAAAGAGAAAAAGCTTAATTTAGTAATTTTTTTATCACAGAGGAAATATATCACAAACAAGAACTGAAATAATGTTTCATTCAGCAATATTTTTTTGTGCTCATTAAGTGAATGAATGTGCTTTTGTCACTTGCTAACATAGGTATCAGTACCGAAATTTCAAAAGTATTAAAAGTGCCACTGCCTACCAAAAGTTAAATATTATAATAGTATTTCACTAACATTGACACCTCTTTCAATGATTACATTATTGTAAAATATCCCCCCCAAAAAACACAAGTCAACTTCACACAAATTGAAACATTAAAAATTCAAAATTTATTTAATTTTACTATTTGTTTTCTTTCCCATACAAAAGAGTGGTATTTATCATACTATATTTAATCTAGTATTCCAGGTAATCTTGAGGACACAAATTAAGCAAATAATTGACAAAATGTTGAAAAGTTCAGAGGTGAAATATTATTTGCATAAAATTTACTGAGAAAGATTGTGGTCAGCGAATTCACAAATGTTTAGATTGGTAGTTAATAAAATATACATCGTAAAAAACCTTGCACTGCAAATCAAGAATGGTATACTCTATGGATATATGCCAGTTTATGAATCTACAATATTCATGCTCAAAAAGAAAGAAGAATGTGAAAATAAGCAATTTGTCAAAACATGGAAGTACTTAAGTCAGATAATATATGAAATTGTGCAGAGACTATTGCAGAGTTTGCAGTCTACAAATACTTTCAGACTACACTATATTCTTCGTAAGTTTAATTGAACGAAATTAAATTAAGTATTCATAACAATTGTACATAAAATATTTTTTTTAAATATTCAAAATGGTACCTATGTTGTAATAACTTATAAAATTCTTCTTTTGTATGAATAAGGTCATCTTTGTAATATGAACGTTAATCTAATATTGCATAAACTTTGCTCTAGCTTGAAGTAGTATCCCCATAGAAATATACTATAATGTATATCTAATAGTTTTGCAGTTTTTCTGCAATAAAACCTCTTATCAATGTAAGTAAAAATGCTGGTAAAATAAAAATGTATGAAAAAGTGCAGATAACATGCAATTATAAATGAATCTGAAAGAAAGAAAAAAAGAAATAATTGGAAAAACTAAGTCATTCACTCAGCACAACTGGTAGTCATGCAGGAGGATACAACAAGTGAAATACCCTTGATGAGTCCTGGACGGTGAGAGTCTGGTCGAAGCAAGTCCAGGCCAGAGCTGGATGCAAGGTTAACACGTGAGTCACGGAATGAGGAAGGGTCCACACGTCCTTTGCCAGAACTCAGACCCTCCAATTTGGATAATGCATATAAGGGATAGAGTTGCTGCACGATAGGATATTCTGGGTAAGTGGGAGATGCCCTGGAAGGAGCTTTTGTAGACACTTCCTGCTGTGCAGAAATGTTGCCAACAGAAGCAACCATTTCTATTAGAGGAGTTGATGTTACAGTAATATTTTTTGTAACTGGAGTGATTGTAATCGTTTCTGAAGTTGTGGGAGTAGTGGTTGGGAATGTTGGTTTTGTGGTAGGCCTGACTCGAGGTCGGGATGCAGTTGGCATAGTTGGTCTGCGGATTTCAATAGCTGAAGGTCGCCCAGTGTTAGCAGAGGATGATGCATGGTGAGATGCTGATTTCCCCCCATTAGTCTTATGAACGCGATTCTTCCCTTTCCTAGGAGATGAGTTGACAGCATAAGGTGATGAGAAAACACTAGGTGCAGGTCTTGGGCGTGAAGGTCTTGTTCCTTTCCCTGAGCCAGACTGAGAAGGATTAGCATGAGGAGAATGAGATGGGGCAGCTGGATTTGGAATGTCATTTCCATAAGGATTTTCTGCAGTACCATAAAATATAAGGGCCCATTCTTGCAGAGTTGCACGGCCTAATGAAGAGAAAAATCTGTCTCAGAAACATATAGCTTGGACAGAGGCAATTGTTTTTTGGTTAGTTTTCTGGAGGGATTTTGATTAGATAAGCTGTGTTAGTACATTCACACTTCTAAATTGAAAAAGTTTTTGAATTAGAGACAAAAGGGCAAGAAATATATCTATTCAAGAATGATCTAGAGTAGATAATGGTTTTAAGAATTCTAATTATGTATTTACCCCACATAAATTCAAGTACTATATTCTGTTACTGAAGAAATTATAACTGATACACAAATGTTCAAGTGGAAGAAATAGCAGAAATTACCCATATTAATTTTATTCATTCCTTCACAGATTCTACTCTTTACTAATAATTATCAAGTATAAAGTAACAAATAATTTTTGATATTAAATATACACAAAGAACATGTTGCAATTCATCTTATGGTGAATACAGCCAATAAATCATGAAAATTGACAGAAATTATTCTGTTATGATAAGTATCAAAATCACTTAATAGATTTTAAGTCTTATGAAACCCAAAGAAGAAATAGTCTAAGAAAACATTAAGCAGCTAAGAAAAGACTATCACAAATTAAGTTCAGGTGCCAAAATTCATTTATTAATTGAATATGTCTCTTATTTTCTTCTATTTTAGAGTTAAAACATAATTAACTTTCACACATGTATGAAACCCGGGGAGTATTTTTAGATAAATTTATTTTTCCAAAAATAAGTAGATCTGATGGCACTTTCCAACACGTGTTGGTTTTTTTGTTTTTTGTTTTTTTTTCCACATGAAATTGAACAAACTTTGTTTATCATTTGCACATTTCAGATCTATAGCAGGGGTAGCCAGCCAGTGACGCGTGCATCAAATGTAATGCTTTCGATGATTACAAATTGCACATCACATCCTTCCTTGCACTTATTTATTCTTTTAAAAAGAAGGTGCCAATGCATAATTGAATTCATATTCATATTTTTTATACCACTCTGCCCACAGTTCAATTTAAACACCCTTATTACAAATAAGTTGCAATTTTTTGAGAGTTTATAATAAATATTCTTTATGATGACATCCATACTTGAGATCTGTTTGTTGTTTTCAACATTTAAAAATTTAGCTTTGTACATCTGATATCTATCACAGTGCAAAATAAATGTGAAAGTAACTATAAAGTAAGCATGAATTTAATGAACAGTACCTCAGGACTTTTGAGTGGGCACATAGAAGGGATGTCAAGTTCCAACCTGATCTCTTCTTAGGTTACATCTTGCTCAGAGTTCTCGCTCTCATCCACAGCCCCCAGAGAAAACAAGAAGCAGTAGATTCACAGGAGCCCATTATTTCAAACAAAAAGATTTCCTTCCCATACATATTTTATCATCATTATCATCATCATCATCATCATCATCAATGTCTTAAGGTTGGGTCCCAAGGCCTGTTCCTTGTTCCAGTATTTTGTACACTAGTTAAGGTTGTGCCTGGATCTTCTACTGTTTTCTTCGACTATTTCTCTAGGTCTAGTTCTTTATCATCTTGGGAAGTCTACTTTGTTTCATTCTTTTTAAAAGTACTTGTCATTTCATCTAATATTTCTCTATTTCAGTGACCACATTCTTTGTTTTTAGTGTTTTCCTTGTTACTTTGTTTCTTATTTTGTGTATTCATGTAACTTGTAGTACTTCTCTCAGATACCGCATTTGGGATGACTTTTTTCTTGGGTGGTCTCTCTGTTTGAGTTTCACTGCTAAGTATTGGTTGGTTTTGCCATTATATTATGGATTCTTATTTTTATTTCTTTTTTCATATTTCAGAAGCGTCTGTTAATGCAGCCATTCAACTTGTTAAATTTTGCCAATTTTGTCTCCATATCTTCCTCTCTTAGTGATAACTTGTTGCCTAGATAGGTGAAAGTTGCTACTCATTCAATTATCTGAATATGTATTATAATTTTTACTCTGCATTAATATTTTCCTGCTATTTACATGACCTTGGTTTTTCCTATTGCTATTTCCATTCTGTATTCTGTTTAGTCCATGCTCCTTTTTGAAATTCATCTTCGGTTATAGCTAGTACTACCTGGTTATTTGGTATATAACATTGTTGCTATTTTCTTCTTGTGTCTCATCATTATTCCTCTTACAGTTTGTTTCTTCTATTCTTTAATCACATGGTTCATATATATTGAATAACAAAGGGGACAGTGTGCATCCTTGTCCTAGCCATACATTTTTCTTCAAAAAAGATTTTAATGGAGAAAATAATATTGTACATTTTTTTTATAATCATATTTTCAACTGTGGTTTACTAATAACAATCTATTCTAATTTTTGATAAAATACACTTAGAACATTACTTTTCATTTAGAAGCTGATGCTTAAATCTTCTTCTAAGCTATCTTTAGCAGTTAGTTTGAATTAGTACATACCTTTTTTATGTTTTGAAAGAGAAAAAAAAATTTCAGGGCCACAATTAACTTGGGACCTGAAGCAAGTTTCTCCAGTTGTGCCCCTCCCTCACTGACGCCACTGCTCTTATTAAATTTATCAACTGTGGTCTAGAGTGAAGTTCACTAAAGGAGGTTCTCTGACAGCTCTTGGTCCATCAGTGAGGTCCATAACTGTGACCAGTCTCTTCTCCAACACATCTCCCTCACTTTATATTAATGCTCCAAAACACTATGTCTTTTGAATTGGCATACATTCAATAGGGCAAAGCACCGAAATACTTGTAGGAAAATTCCGCATTAGATCGCAGCACTATCACAGGGAATTTATTACCATAATACCAATGTCCGATTTTTCGATCCTGTAATCATGCAAATGTGACGAATAGAAGCGTCGTAAAGTGAAATTACGAAAACACCACCTCGCCCCCTTTCCCCTCTTCCGCCGTTGCGTGTCACCACTTCGTGTTGTGGGCCCTCTGTCGGCGCGGGGGCACGACCAGGCCAGTGCGGCTGCGGCCAGCCCCGGCTGGAGCAGGCGGGACTTGCGGATACGCAAGCCAGTGAATCGGTTTTCCTTTCGTCTCTTTGCATCTCAGTTTTTTTTCCACAGATACGCAAATTAGAGATGCTATCCTACTATTACTGACTTGAGGTAAACGTCTGTAATAGTAGTAACATAAATATGCTTCACATATTTCCGTCTTCTTCGAATCCGATCTAAAATTGTTTGAGGCAATACTCAAAATATCGATTCCAAATTTGGGAACTGTTTTTAAAAAAAAATGAAAGAAATTTTGTTATTCCATTCTCTCACTCTATTTAAGATATTTTACTTCTTAAGGTTGTCTGTAACATTCCACTTGCTCTGATCCTTCCGGGTTCAAAATACAGGAAAGAATGAGCGTAGCCATGACGCATGATTGTTACTGCGTTGGATTCAGGAAGCAATGTCGCCATCGCGCTATAGAAGCCCACATTTAAATTTTTTTCTCGGAAGTTTGAGAACTAATTCAAATTCGGGATTTTGCTAGATTTTTGGAAAAGGGCTTCGTAGCGTAAATTCTATTTAAAAAGGCGTCAAATGCGTTTACAGAGTCGAAAATCGAACCATTGGTTCAGACGTTATCGGTTAAAGTAATTTTACTTGTTTTGGTGCTGCCACGTGGTGGCCACAAATTGTACTAGTGTCGGGACATTTAGCCTTAATATAAGTGCAAAATTGAGTTATTCCTTTTCCTCCTATACCACTTCTCCCTCTCCCCCTATTTTTCAACTCTAACTATGAAAGTAAGAAGATGGAGAGAGCTCGATATGTATGTAGCATCTGAATTTGTCTGTGAAAAAAATTGTTTCATGGTTTATATACGATTGGCTACCCCTGATCAAAAGAGTATGATACTAATTATTCTCTACAGACAAGATATTGACTTAAGATAAGAATGAATGAAGAACTTTGAAACAAACAGAATGAATGTACAAAAAACAGTTTTCTTCAATGCATCAAAATGATCTTCACACAAATTTGGCAGCAAGACAGGGAGTGCTATAATGAAAAATGCATGTAGTTGTTAGCATATCTTCCTGAAAATAAAAATTATACTTAAAGTGCATTATAAATTATTGCTCATCACTATTAGAGATTCTCACAAACAAAACAATACGGTAACTCTGTTTTTACAAATTTTCCATCAAAACTTGAAATTTAATTAATTTAAATTCAGGAAAATGTTAAAAAGAAAGTCATGGGGGCCAAAAATTCAATGACAAAAATAATGACAAATAAACCATTAACAATATAACAAAAGAATTCTGTGAATTTATAGTTTTAAAATCTCTTTACTCTCAGCAGTACAAGTGCTGCTACATCACAAGCTTGTTAATCAGGCTTAATGGCCTTCTTCGTGGCTGAATTTGTGAATAGATAAACCATTCTACATTTTAATATATCTAAATGCAGATAAAACAACACCCACATCTTATAGGAATCTTAAAATACATTTTAAAGGAAAAATTTTGCCCAAGGTAAATCTTTAAAATACATTTTCAGTGAGCAATAATAGCGCACAGTGCTATTACAAACATTAGATGATTTATATAAATAAAACCGTTTTCAATTAAATCTCCAATACTATTTATCTAATACAAACCTAAGAAACGTCCTTCATTATGGATTTCTAGAATCCAAATTCCAAAGGGCTTTTCTCCCCATGTGTGTACTGACATGAATGGCCAATTCTGAAATCCAGCTCGTGAAACATCATGAGGCCTACGAGCTAGAAGTGTTGTGCGTGTGCCTGCAGGAGAAGTAAGATGGATCTGCAAGTCACCTCTTCTGGAGGATGCAAGACTAATTTTTGCCTGAAAAATGCACGCATTTTTTGCAGATAGATCAGACTAATAAACTATACACTATTATACTTAACCTTGCACACTTTACACAGCCTTTGAAATTCAGCAAAACACAATAGTCATTACCATTTTCTGACATATTTTGAGAGATAGGATTATATTGTCTGATGGAATGATTAAATGTCAGACAAATAGAGAAAATAATAAATTTTAAAAATTATTTAATAATAGGTGATATAAAGATAACAAATAAATTTTGTATGTATTAGAACTGCCTTTTTGTTTGGCCAGGGATTACCAATACAGTGGCTTACTAATTTTGAAGACACATAAGAATGAAAGTTGAACAAAATCAAACAACACAACTGAAAACTGTTTAATTGATAACTAATTTTTAAAAAGAATTACTTTTTTTTTTTACCTGGACATGCTCAAGATAGTTAATTCCAGCACATTCTCTCACATGTAACTGGAGAAGAACTTGACTTTTTGCTGGTATTAGCCTGTAAAAGATATAATCATGAATTTGATTTTAATTTACATTACAATTGTACTGGCTGAAGTATGGGTTTATTAATATGAATTTCAGCACAATTTTAACTAGTGACAGTACAAAAGTACATACTTTGTTGCATTGTTTCTAACACATTATTATTACTCTGCTCTGCTACATTATATTATCACATAAACCTGCGAAAGTATTTTTAACCAACAACAATTTTTTCCGCTCCGAGACCCGCACTCAGATCCTCGGAGTTAATTTGTCACTCATACCAGACTAGAGAAGCGCCATATGGATCAAACTCGAGCAGACGCACAAAAACGAAAATGCTTGTTTCATATAAAAAACTTCAAAAACCAAAATATCCGTTTGAAACTCCCAAAGCCTCGAGTTCTTTTAGATCCATCGCGGAAAAATCAGTTTTGAAGAAAATCGGCGGAAAGGTTGAGGCACTAGCTTCGACCACAAACGGACAGACGTTTAACGTCAATCGATTTTTCGGCATCAAGGTCCAACAAAACATGGGTTCTGGCTACACCGCGTATTAGAGGATTTTTTCTATATTTAGCACTGGATTTATCCACTTTTCCGCTACCAAGGCCAGGCAATAGGAGTTTTCTGCCGAAAATTCGCTGTTTGCACGCACGATTGCATAACTTTCTCTGAAGCACCTTAGGCGAGAAAGTAAAAAGGTTTTAGATAATATTAAATACCCTGTACACAGATAACCCAAGGGAAATATATTTTTGACTTTTAGGATTTGTGTTGAGTAATCATTAGTATAAAAATATTTATGACTACTCAACATAAATCCTAAAAGAACTGTCTTAAAATTTGACATTAGAAAAAGAAAGATCTGAAGAACACTTACTTATCAGAGTGTGGAGCAGATACCTCACACTTGTGCTGCTCAGGAACAGACTTCCACACTCTCGCTAAACGCACCATGGCAGAGGCATCCATCAGTCCATAACCAAAAGAGTGACTTACTATACAAAGAAATATCTTCATGAAGCTTTCAAACTCTTTATGAAAAACAATTTTCAGTCATTTATTTTCCACCTAACATACCATTTCTTCCCACTCCATTAGTTTTCCAGTCAGACGTTCTGAGATTTGCTGGTTTGGCTGTCCGAACAACAATGTGTTGCATGTCTCTCCAAGTGAGATCACGATTTGATTCTAAAGCCAAAGCACAAATACCAGCAGCCAAAGGTGCTGATGCTGAGGTACCTGTGTGACTACTTGTGCACTGATGGTGAAGATCTGTAGTCAGCACCTTTACAGGGCAACATTCACGTATGTATTCATAAAGAAAAAACTTGCTCATTAGGATAAATACCATTATTGGTAAGTACTATTAAAATTATCATTATTATTGTTATTATTGTTATTATTATTATTATTGTTATTATTATTATTATTTACATTGTTGTTATTATTAAAACTAATATTTAATTTTTTTAAGTACTAGTTTAAGAATTTTTAGGTTATACAAATAATTTTCAATGGTTGAACCACTGAAATTTTCTAATTTTCAATGGATCTTGAAATTAACTCCAAACACAGAACACAAATGAAAATATCAAAACACTTAAGAATTCAAACACAATAATTATGACAGAAAATAACAATCCAAGTAGTACATTATAGTACAATAATGAAGCAAAAGAATAGTTTAACCCAAGGACAGGCAAGGAACTTAGCACAAAAAAATACATCAGTTCCTTTACTTTACTTTAAGATATTTGCACATTTATTTATCTCGGATGAAGTCGTAGGCTTCCGCGGCCAGAGTCATGTGCGTGATCTTGGCTGTCCGGGTGACGCCGCGTCAAAGGCTGTGTTGCAGACGTTTCGACCATCTTGTCGTGGTCTTCCTCATACCTCGGCATATTAGCTCTGAGGAAGACCACGACAAGATGGTCGAAACGTCAGCAACATAGCCTTCGACGCGGAGTCACCCGGACAGCCAAGATCACGCATATTTATCTCGGATGACACACAAGTTACCTGTTTTTCTCCTGCAGAACCGCTGCTGTATGTTGTTGCTAGAGTAGATGAGCAAGCTTCTGAATACCACGGCACAAGACCATTTTCTGTAGCGCTGCTTATGGACAAAGTCCATATGGAATTGGTGTATCCATCACAGTTGCAGTTGTCGTGATCACGCCCACCATTTCCAGATGCCCAAACAAAAATGGATCCCTTCCCGTTCCTGCCCTGTAGTAACAAAAATAAAATCATGAAATAAGAAGTAGGGAACATAAAAACAGTACATATTTTCTGCACAAGGGCTTCACATTGAAAATATGCCAATATCTCAGCAGAGTAAAGCACTTGTCACTCCAACAAAATGCAAGACATCATCCAAAGCGTCAGCTCTGTATTTTTTCAGCTTCAATCATATCAAGGAATTGAAGAGACCAGAAAGATTTTGTCAAAATTGCAAATATTTGAAACAATACTAAGCATAACAAAACTACTTTTGTCATACAAACGTTAAATCAGCAGTTGTACCCATCGGATGGAAATTCTTTAACTATCTTAAGATCTTTCAAGGATGATTTTTAAAGTTTTTTTAATAGAACATACCATGTCGTCCCTTGTTAATTGGTTTCAATAATGTAGGTCCTACTCTCCATCAAACCTTCTCAGGATTAGATGGGTAGTGGTGCTTCGTATTTTATTTTAACATGTGCATTCACTCACGTACTACAATCAACATGCAAATGCAGGCATAGCTCTCCTTTGAGTAGTAATGCATGTATTGCGTTTTGCAGGTGCGGTTTTCTGAAGGAAAAGCAGCAAACTCTGAGCAAGGCCACCCATGGACTTCATGGGCTCGTGCACAAACTTTTGTGAGGGCACCCAAAAATTTCTCATACAAGTGTTTCTTTTAACACACTTCGACTCTGTTTCTCAAATACTTACGTGGACTCAGTTTTTGGGTCTGTTTTGATTCCAAAAGTTTGACAATAATTTACAAGTAACTGACGCAAGAATGTTCTTTGGGATTATTAATTAAGAAAACTATACTTTTTATTTGTTTAATTTACTACATTGTACTAAATAACAAAGAATAATGTTATTTCTGGAAAAATCATTCCACCATATCTTCATTACTATACTTAGGTGTCTATCTTACCAGTATGAGAATGTTTGAAACAGAGCTAGCAAATCGTAATAGACAAATATACAAAATTATCAGAAACAGCAACGTAGTATTAAAAAACGGAAATGGAGTAGTTTTTTGAATGTTCCTTGTAATTTAGATGTCAAATGTGACCTTTTTCACTCCAACTGCATAAAAATAAAATTATTTCCAACAAAGAAACGAACTCAGAAAATTGAAAAGATTACAACATACGTAAAAGTGGACATAACTTGCATTTCTACAAGAATACGTTCAAGTGAATAATTTTCAGAATGTTGTGAAATATTATTTGTCTCTGAAGTCAAATAAGACCCCAAACAGAGTCCAAGGGTAATTATCACAACTGTTGATTCTTCCGCGTGTTTTAGTATATTTTTTAAAGTGAGCAGAAAATAAATACAATCTGCCCTTTCAAGAATTTATCAAGTAATTGAATGTATTTGGGTAGACAGAAATATTAGAATGTAGCATAATAATAATAATAATAATAATAATAATAATAATAATAATATTAAGTATGTGACTGTGTGTGTCTATTTCATCATTTCATCTTCATCATCATCATTTCACCACATCTCCCAGGGCTTACAACCTTGGCGTGTAAAAATGGAATCAGCATTAAAATGCTGATCCCCCAACAGAGAAGTAAAGTGCACGCACCCCGATAATCACGACTGATCGCCGGGGGGATGCAGGTACAGCGTGGCCCCATGTTGGCCGATTCGCGAAACCAAATCGCAATTGAATGAAGATGATACATTTAGGCACGTATAACTTTCTTTCCAAAAGCCCGGGCCACTGCTTTGTCAGGGTTGACGCCTCCTCTCTTGGGCGACCCTGCACTACCTTCTCCATGACAAGTATTTTATTCAATATACGAATCTACCATTGCGGATTCAATAATTTGGCGGAAGTGTACCAACCTTGGAGACCCCCTCGATGAAGGCACGTGTGGCCAGCTCCCCGGGCCCGTCCACCGTCTTGCCGTCGTCATCCGGACCCCAAGAGGCGCTGTAGATGTCGATGTGTTGCGGGTTCAAGGACAGGGAGCGCGCCTCGACCGCATCCGTCACATCTCCATCCAGCATCCGCACACCTGCGTCAACGGGCGGAAATTTCCCGGTAAACACAAGACCGGAAGCCGCCTCAGGCGGAAGTGGGGCGTTGGACAGGTTATTAACAAGAGCATAACCATGCACCTATACTTGCCAATACAACCACACTATGCAGTATCCCCTCGACGAAGAATGTGGATACACAAAATATTGTCATTTTCAAAAAAACGATTCTAAAATAACACTCATTATTTACACATTATTTCCAAATGTTCTATGTTGGTCCTCAAGCGGTTCTGTGTGTGCTTCATTTGCTCGACTTCACGAGCTCTCTAGAACGAGACCCCCAAGGCATTTTTCTCATGGAGAAAAAACAAACAAAACATCATCCATCCCATTTAATTAAGAAGGAGAACTGGATTGCCAATGTTAATATTTCAGTTTAGGTCCAATTGTCATATTGTTATTTAATAGACACATTATAACACTCGCCACACTCAGCATTTTAAACTTTCTGAATAAGAGAGAGATAGAGAGAAGAGAAGAAGACAGAGAGAGAGCAGAGAGAGAGACAGAGAGAGACAGAGAGAGAGACAGAGAGATGAGAGACACAGAGAGATAGAGAGACACCAGAGAAGACAGAGAGACAGAGTGAGGGAGAACAGAGTGGAGATAGAGACAGAGTGAGAGAGACAGAGAGAGAGACAGAGAGAGAGAGCAGTAGAGAGAGACAGAGAGAGAGACAGAGAGATTAGACAGAGAGAGAGACAGAGAGAGACAGAGAGAGAGAACAGAGAGAGAGACAGAGAGACAGAGAGAGATAGAGAGAGAGACAGAGAGAGAGACAAGAGAGAGACAGAGAGAAGAGACAGAGAGATAGAGAAATAGAGAGAGAGAGAAATACGATAGATAGATAGAGGAGAGAGAGAGGGACGAGAGAGAGAGAGAGAGAGAGAGAGAGAGAGAGAGAGAGAGAGAGAGAATATTCTACACAGAACGAAAATTATACGTCAACGACAACCTAAGCTGAAACACCGACTGATTTATTGATGATTCCGGGGAGGTCAACTGCTAAGGTCAATGATTCCGTAAGTGTAGTACATGTTTTATCGCTGGAGTATGCGGTGATCTCACGCTGGATGGAGAGATCCGGCGCCGACCTACATCGGCTCGCCGGGGTTTTTCCCAATCAGGTATCTCCCGCCAGCGAGGCACCGCCCCAGCTGGCACATGCTCTACGCTCCCGACAAGTGCGGAAGTGTAGTGCATATAAGTGTGAGTGTGTAAGTAAGGAATGAGGATACAAGGGGAAAGAAAGATCGCGCGCGGTCCATGGTCCGTTTGTTAGGGTACTGCTCCGGCATTCGCTAGAAGTTGATTGGAGAAACCAGAGAAGTTAGAGCAGCCGGCAGCTGGAATTCTCCAAACAGCGACTAATCGACCTAGCTATCTATGTCAGAGTCAGAGTCTATCTATTTATGTCTAGCTTTCAGTGTCAGAAGTCGTGCTACCATTGAGGTCGAACCTAGGACTTCCCGGTCAGAGGCATTGCAGTGACATCAGTTGATGCCCTGAGCTACCTTGTCGGTCGGAATATCAAAAATTTTGGCAAAGAATAAGTACTTTATTATTAAAAATGTTTAAAGTTAATTTTTGTTAATTTTCGTACAATAAATATAAGAACTAATTCAGATTATAGTATTAATTTCATCAACTTTATTCGTATTATAGTTAATGTTAACAAGTTAAACTATTACAGAAATGGAACCCTCCAATCTTAAAAAAATATGCGAGGAAAGAAAATTTGAATCTTCACAAATGTTTTAGTTTAAATCCTTTGAACCCTAAAGAATCGTTTCACTTTTATGGCGTTCTCCAAATTCGAAACGAATCTTTTAATTTTTGGGGATACTTTATATGATATCCTGGGGGTATTTTCCAAATTTCCTCAAAACTGGGCCTAATTGTTTTTTTTAATTTTATTTTATTATTTCTTGCTAGAACAGAGTGAAATACACTTGGCACTGTTACCTATGAATTTTCGAATAATTGCAAAAGATACAAATAATGCAAGAAAATATGAGCGTTGTAGCTCCACTAATTTATTTTAACTGTAATCTACAAATGTCGTCAAAAATGAAAATAGGTTCTTTACTTACAAGTACTTCCATTATCGTCGTCATTGCTATCACCTGTATATTTAAAACAAAAGGGTCTTAGTTTAAAAAGAAATTTGAGCATTCTCTTCAATCAAATTTCATAATTTTTTTACTTTCTCATATGTAGTCCAGAGAAAGTATTGTAATGCTTTGGCAAATTACGCCTATTTTTCGACAAAAACTTGTATTGTGGGGTGTTGCTTTCGAAAAAGTCGATAAACTGAGTCCTCGGCTAGGCCCACGGAACTAGAGAGGTTGCTGTCGGGGAAGAAGTGGACGTCGCGTAGCTAGCGGCGTCCAACGGCCGCAACCTCAGTTTGACGGGCTCACGACAGCGCCAGGCGCGCCCTCTAATCTCACGTGCTTTCAGACTTCTGCTTCTGGATATTCATGAACATTCACTGGTTTTTCGAAATTTTACCCGGCACAACTTTCACTTTACAACTCAATAAGTTTTGACGTATCTCAAGTTTAAATTACTCCAAAATCTACTCGACGACGCACGAGTTACTTGTTGAAGCAGACCTGAGAATCGCAGATTGCATCCCCTGGTCAGGGGCCCCTCAGGCCTGCTTCCCGGAGAAGACAGCCCGATTGCTTCCCGGCCTGTGTTTTAGGACGGATAAAACGAAATATATATATAAGGGTGAGCAAGAACAGCACATACTTTCTGGCATTATTTGTAACGACTCCGCAGAATTATGCTACTAGAAGAACCTGCAGATGAGTTTCCAAACTGCAAAATATTTTTTCCTCACCGTGACTAGAACTTAGGCCCATCGAGTTAATCCGCAGTGCGCTTTACCGTTACATCACGCAGTTGCTCGGCGTACTAACTTGGAACGATGCTTAAAAAATTATTGTCTCATTCCTTATTTCCAACATGTAATTTAAGAAAATTAAGAGATTTCACCGAAAATGAGGCCAGTGTCATTTTTTATAAGTTCCTTATTTTATTCGAGGAAAATGTAAGAAAAACGAAGCTGTTTTGGAGAAAAAATGTTTAAAAAATGCCTATAATTTCCGCGAAAACTTTCGAAAAATTGTACATGATCTTATTTCAAAATCCGTCTTCAGATTTCATTAAGGGAAAAATCTCTATCTTCAATATTTTAGTTGTAGGAAAATGTCGAAAACAATTCGAAGTTTTGCAATTTCCGAAATATTAGGGATTTTAACGAAAATGAGACTTGTGCTGCTATTTTAGGCGCACTTCGCGCTATCTGAGGACAAAGTTTAATCCAAAAGTTAAGTGCAATTTTTAAGAAAATTTTGTAAATGTTGAGGTGTAATGTAAAGGTGTCACCCAATCAAGCTATCCACTTCAAACCTAAAGGGCTTCGAGTTCCTTTAAATTCATGAAGGAATATTAACTTTGGAGACAATCGTTTGAACGGTTTTGACATACACGGTTGACCACAAACATACAGGCGTTTTGTCGTTACTTTCGATATAAAGGACTCACATAACATGGATTCCGACTACACATGTTAGAGGAAGTAATTTACAATAAACAGGAACAAGATTTATCCACTTTTTCTTTACCAGGCCCGGCAATAAGACACGTCGTTTTCCGGCACACGATTACAATAGTTTCTCTTCTCCAGAAGTAAAGGCGAGAAAGAAAAATAGTTAAGTTTTCATTCTTGAGTATTGCAAATAAATCTGATGCCAGTTGCGAGAAAACCTTGATCACCTGGTGAAAATGGCATAATCCTCGTAACTCTGGATGTAACTTATCTAACATATATTTAAATTCTGAATATTTTAAGGAAGTCATTGGCACCCTTTTCCCTCCTTGAAGCAGCCCTCCGTGTACATAGAAATCAGTTTCAAATAATTAAGAACCTTCGAGTTAGTTTAATTCCAAAATAAGTTTTTCTTACTCTATCTTACCATTACAATACAAGAGTAATACAAAATTAACAACGTTAAAAGGAGATTTTGTTCTTTTTCTGTTTTATGTTCTTCACATATGAATGAGAAAGGACGATTTTCCAAGCAGATACTCAGGGGAGCCCTTTCTTGTGCTCTAGGGGATAAGCGAACGGGATCCATTCGGACTAAGCGTTTTCGGGAAGGAAGGAAGGAAGGAATAATTGATCGTGAGATGCAAACGCGTTACGATTGGACACATTTTACTCTTTAGTCTAGGCTAGCTTCTCATAATAGCTTTACTCATTTCCCAGCCGCTACCTCTCGGCGCTCAAAAGACGTCTTTGTTTTCACATTTTTTCAATTTTTTGTTTCCCCAATAGTAGAGCTGAAATATGACATACCGAATATTATGGAATAGTAAGGAAGTATATCATAAAAGAGTAGAAAAAATAGTTTTTTGTTTTCTATTATTATTAAATGACACATACTTGATCTAAAATTAATTTAGTCTCTTGACTATCATGTGCGAGTATGTTCTGGTTCTCAAATTGGAAAAATGATTTTCCAAAAAATCAATTGAAAATTCCTAACCGAAAAAAAAGGCTCACATAGAGTAAAGATTTGTGACAAGTCTTGCGACAAAAGTATATTGCAAACAAAATTAAACATTTATAATGGGTTATCTGTCATCAATTTATTTAGTCAAAACACAGTAAAAACTGCATGTAACGTATGGGGGAGAAGATCTGCGCACGTTTTCTTGAGTTACAGAATCCCTTCCCATCATTTTAACTATAAATAGTTGAAAGGTGAGTAAAAGTTAAAAATAAATAAATAAATAAAAGTGAAATTTAAAAAAGCGCGAGATTAGCAACATTTGAAAAACTAGACCTTTTCGTCAACGAGTTATAAAAAACTTATTTGCAACGGTAAACGAACTGCAGGTTTTATTTTTCTGCATTGCTAACAAAATTCTAACTCACCCTTACCGTAATGAAGCTAAATTTACGTCCAGAAGCAAAACAAGGGGCCGCCTCAGCATTTGCTCTATGCATCAGGAAAACTGGACAAAAACCTGATCGAGATGGGGGGGGGTCATTGACAAGGAAGTTGAAGTCCATTATTTGTTACAAGCATATTAAATGAATTGAACTAATGACTTATTTTACGTGGCGAGTCTCAGGCCATGAAGCCTGCTCTTCCGCGTGACCACGCAAATTTCGCTACGCTCCTTTCACCAGCTAGCAGAGAAAGGAGGTATTTCTTGGGCGAGAAACAGGCGATTTCAATTTAGCTCAGAGGCGTCAATGAGGCTTAAGGATCTTTTACATGCAAGTAAATCTACTAACATGGGACAGCCGGCTTTACTTCCCCTCCAAAGGAAGGCGCGCGAAGGATTTTTTCGCCCTTAAAAATCCACGGCTTCGATCGGGTTTGAACGCGCCAACTTGGGTACAACAGTCCGATACGCTAACTGTTACACCATCGCCGCGCATATTAAGTACTTGAGTGAGAGGCAGAAGAACCGAAGTCGAAAAAGGAGGGGCGGGGGCGGGGCGGACTCACCGCCGACGCTGGCTCCGAAGGCGACGCCGACGGCGCAGATGGAGTTGTTGGCGGTGGCGGCCACCTCCCCCGCGCAGCGCGTGCCGTGCCGGTTGGAGTCGATGAGGTCGTAGCGCGGCATCGGGTCCTCGTCGTGGTTGTTGACGTCGTAGCTCGCCTGCGGGTCCTGCAACACACCGGAAACCCGTTGCTGTCAGCCGACCTTTCCCCTCTCGCCGCAACACACATTCGTAGAAAACAGTTCCAGAGAGTTGGGTTTTGGTTGACACTTTGAGACACTGGAGGATAATCATATCAAACATTCATGTAAACCATTGTCTCTTACCTAGTTATTCTTAACGCAATTTTGAAGCAATTTTAATATTGAGAAATTAATATAAAAAATGACAAAAGGAATGATAGTGATTTAATATTTCATTGGCTTTCTTTCAAACAGGTTTTAAACAGTCAGCTTCATTACAATAATTAGAAACACACAGAAATTAATCGGGATTAAAACTTGTTTGAAAAAATGTCAATTAAAAACGTCATACTTCCACTCAATTTAGTTTAAACCATATTCATTAAAGCATTATATTATTTTAAATGTCTTCCATCTGTCTCAACATTTCGAGGCATTTATATTCATCAGGAATAACTTAATCTAAATGTAAGATAAATAACTGTTAAAAAATTGATCAACTCTAAAATTATGTACTTGTTTACATACCGTTAATTTTTAACTTTAAAAATTTAAGCAAAAACTTACATGGACAAACTGAAATAATATCTTTATCAGGTGTAAAAGAACTCACCTCAGGAGATTTTTTCATTTTCCATGAACATTTTTATTATTTTCCTTTTTAAAATAAATGAAAAAGATATATTCTGAGGTGAGTTCATTTGTAGCTAGAACAGAAAGTTGCAAAGACAAATTGAAATTATGACTAAAGGTTGAAAGTTAAATAATTTAACATTACTTCCACAAGTAGCCGGTATGATTGACAATCTCGCAGCAATTAATTTTAAAATCTCACAGCAATAAAGAATTAGGAACATCGAAAAACAATGTGGAATGCGGAAGTAAAATTAGAGGAACGGTATTCCCTACGAGATATATGGATGCTGCGTAACACCAAATTGTAGAAAATAACATAGTGTATTAAAGTTTTCCGAGAGGAACATATTACGAACCACAGTACATATACAAATTTCGATGACTTTATTCCCATTGAAGTAGTTTCCACATTGGTCAATGAGTTTTCTGATATCATTGCAAATGTTCCATACTTTTTCTTCTTGTGCCTTACATCATGTATCAGGATTATGAAGTCGGAGAGTGTGTGAGGCAAGAAGATCCGCCTGGAGCGGCGCAGCGCATTTCGGGGCGCTACGTATTACGCATTCAGAAACGTGTCGAAACTGACAGAGCGCGACACATGCCGATCCATCTTTGCGGGCGAACAGGCGGAGATTATGTCACGTCTCATTAATTTCGGACGAGACACATTGCAGGCAGTCCATGAAATGTTAATTCGCTTCGGAGAAGCCTGTTTGCGTTGCCGCCTCTGGCGTCCGTGGCCGTGGGTTCGATTACCGGTGGCGCTCGGCGACCCGGGGAGCTCGCGAGGGTTCCGTCGACGCAGTGGTCGGGGGATGTGTTGCGAAACTTGCAGTTCAGACATCACGTTTAGTATGGATACTATCAATAGAAAGAAGTATCGATCCGTCAGTAACGTTACATGATTTCGGACTTTAAATGGCAATTCTTCAAATACTGATTGGTAGATTTCAAGTAAGAAAATTATATTTTAACTGATTATTAAACAATTTTGAAAATATGTTGTAAGTTTTAAAATTAAGTTATTTAAGACACATGACAAGTGATACTTAGGGTCATCAAATGAAATCCGATTGGGTTCCTTTATCACATCAAACAAATTTAAATTGTTTCGCTACAGAACTAATTATAACATATAGCAAATAATAATAATAATAATAATAATAATAATAATAATAATAACAACTTGTGCTCCATAAACCTCCAGAAATAGTTGTAGTCATATCGTACTTGCACATACGCGAACGTGCAGACTATTGTCTGGGGAGTACGCACGTTTACGTGAAAGGTCAGATTGTTTTTTGAAACATTGGATTACAACATCCCTGAAGCCAACATCCCAATTGAAAAGTTAGAGTCGTCTTTTAACAGGGCGTTTAAAGGTTGGACACATGGAAGGTTTAAACACATGGAAGTCACAATGTGACAAATAAGGGCAAAACGAAGTGTTGCATAACCACACACCCGGTTTTTGCAGAATTCTGCCGTGCTGTTGATTTATTTAACATCTATCGAAAATATGGCCTCCCTGGAGGTACAACGGAGAAATAGGGGCACTGTTATTTTGAACGGAGAACGTCTTGGTCCATTTCACACCAAACAGCTACAACTTAGCTCTGCGGCAAAACACTTTCTTACGGTTTGATAATATAACGATCTCAAATTAATCCCCCTGACAAACGGACTTTTAGAAATCCTGGCGCAGCTTTTAGGGAAAAACACAAATTAGAAAGAGGCTAAATATGCCGCGAACATTGCGAGAGAGAAAAATCCCTCCCTTACTATCTGTTCGCATCGACTCTGAGTGTCATTATCGATCGAAGTTGAGTAACATTTCATTCTTCGGGATAAGATGTGAACAGCACTCGTGGAAAACGAGAATACAAATAGGTCACTATGGTGCAGAAGAAATATAATTTAATCAATAGAAATGTTTCAAATCGAAAGTTCGTAGAAATGCAAATAAGGGAGGGAGGGTTCACCGATAATTTTATATTTGATCTCTTTATATCAAATGCCATGAATAACAAAGGCGATTACACAAATAAAATTAGTGGTGCAAGACCTCGAGTTTGTTCTAATCGATGGGGCAATATCAATTTTGGGAAAAAAATATCTGAAAGGTTTTAGCGCTAACGGTGACCGGACGAACGGACGGAGTTGGACGAATGGACGAACGGACGAACGGACCGACCGACAGAGACAGCGTTTCGGACCAATCGATTTTTCGATGTCTAGAACTTAGAAAATGTGGATTCTGACCACTCAACGTGTTCTTTTTCCATTAGCTCTACAACCCTTTGTGGGTCTTGGCTTCCTCAATTAAGTCAGTCCACCTTTTCCTATCCTCTATCCACTTCTCCTTTCACCCAACATCGTTGAATCTTGGCACACGTCATCCATACACAGAGAGCTTGGTCTTCTTCTCTTTCTTGCCCCTGATGTCACCAATTCTATTATTTTCTTTGGGGTCTGTTTATCTGCATTCTTTGAATATGACCCAGCTTTTTAATTCTTTAAGTTTAAATGAATCTGATGATATTCTCCCCTTTCATTCAGTTCTCTACTTCATGGTTAGTTCTTATCCTCTACACATCTGCTATAACTTGTATTGGACCGTATATTTTACGTATTATCTTCCTCTCAAATATTCTTAGATGGTTTATGTCGTTTAATGTTATCAAGGACCCAGAAAATGTGGATTCTGACGTGTTAGAGGAAGTTATTTTCTACCTATGGGCACAAGGCTTTTCCACGTTTTCGTTACCAGGGTCCCATTATATGCGGTTCTTTGTCAAAAATATTGTCAATTTCCGCCGCAATATTACACTATTTTCCCTTTACTACATAAAAGTAGTAAGGCGAGAAAGTAAAAATTCAATCTTCAGTCTGAGTCGCGATTTCTCTTGGCAACGTGGAGGGCAGAGGTAATTACTCATAATTAATTTCCTATTCTCTCCGACTATGTGATGTACTGCCAATGTCTCTAGAGAATTTTAATAAACAGCAAATCTCGCGTGGTACGCTCTCCGCCCGTTAACATTCCCATGACTGAAACATACGTCGCGCGAGTTATGCAGGCGCGCCCGGCCTGCGGCCGCCCCATCCGGGCGTCGCGACGCGCCGAGTGCACTTGGCCGCAGGGCTGCCAACACTGCTTCAGCAATTGTTACGAAACGTTCTTCAAAATATAACATCATTCAAGAAAATGTAACCACTCTAGTGACACTGACGTTCAATGCTAGGGATGAATGCAGAATTTAGATTGGTTGTACGTTACGGTATGCCGTTATTCTCACTCACCATATTCAGATGGACTGATAACTATTTTTTCCCCTTTTTTTTATTTCTCAAAAAAAGTCAACGTCATTCGGTACATACTAAATAGAACATGCAATAAAATGGTATACAAAGGGATATGTTGTTTAGAGCATCAAGAAATCGAAGACAGGACCAATAAGAGACACGTTTATGAAATGACTTACCATTGAATTCTGTACTTACGAGTATAGAAGATCGGTCAATTCGTTAGTTTGAAATGACACTCTGATTCACGCAATTCGTTTCTCGTTATTGGTTCGATTTTAAATACATGGTGATTGATCTTGCGCTCATTCTCAATTATTACAATTTTGGATTTATGTTCTCCGCCATTTCAGAAATAATTACACTTCAAGTTCGTGCGTATTAATTTTTTATTTCATTACTGCCAACGTTTCGGACGCCCTTTTCTTAAATCTGGTAACCTACGTTTGTCGTCCCGTCCCTCAAGGTTCGACCACCGCCGGTCCAACAATCGAGACAAATGAGACGCCATTCGACGCGTCTCCGTGCCCCGCTGGGGATCGGATCATTTTTGGTCATCCACGCGGCGGATTTTAAGAAATTTCTCTAAAAACGTGCTTTTGTAATTTTTAGCAACTAAAACGCGCTTTGCACATTTACGTCACCTACTGAGGTTCGATTCCTCTCTTAAAAGACAAATCGATCGACATAATTTTTCTGGAAGAATTCTATATTTTTTTCTAGAGTCCTAGAAATTCCTTGAGATCCGTGATCTCTGTCCCAACTCATATAGATATTGAACTATTACTGCAGGTAGTGAAGAGAGTTTTTGAAAAAAAGTATCAAAACATTCGCCACCATTAATTATAACTACTTGCAAAAGCGAATCCGCTATAGATTTCATTAACGCAATTATTTATTATCTCTTCGTGACGGAATCGATTTATCGCCGCGAGATCATGAAGAACGATTATTTCAATAACTATATTTACTACGTTACTACTAAATAAAAACAAAGTTACTAACGATAGGAACAGAATCTCTGAAGAACTGCGACAGTC